ATTTGTGGTGTTACCCTGAGTGTATATCCACACCGGGCGAGCTTGAAAAATATGCCCGGCCACGGTGGGATTCGAACCTACGACCTTTGGAATACTAGCCCAATGCTCTTCCAACTGAGCTACGCGGTCAGGACGGTTCGAGTAAGTGATATTTCGGAACAGAATCTAGTTCCTTCGATACCAATGTATTCTAGTAATATGATTTTTTTTCCTGTGTTGGTGTAGTGTACTCAGGTGAATTTTTATTCAAAGTAGCAAGACAGAATTTATTATTATTGGCTCTCGTCAGCAATTATCGAAGGTATCGATTGACAAATTGAGGGTAGGAGAAGTATCGATTTCTCCAGTAGGAGCTGTTCGTGATCTTGGGTCTTGGTTAGATACTCATATGTCCATGAATTTGCATATTAGCAAAATCTGCAGCAAGGCCTTTCGAAGCCTTTACCATATCAAACAAATCAGGAAATACTTAACTGACGATGCTACCAAAATTTTAGTTCATGCATTTATTACATCCCATTTGGATTATTGCAATTCTTTGCTGTATGGAATTCCAAAATATCAATTAAATCGATTGCAGAAAGTGATAAACGCTGCTGCTCGTGTTGTATGTCTCGTACCTAAGTTTGATCATATTACACCTACATTAATGAGACTGCATTGGTTACCGGTTAAATACCGTGTTATATTCAAGATCGTACTGTTGGTTTATAAAGCTCTACATGGATTGGCTCCCAAATATAATCGTGACATGTTGACTTATAAACAAAGTAATAACTACTCTTTGAGATCGGACGAACTAGGGCTTCTTCATGTTCCAAGCACACGTAGAAAGTCTTTTGGTGATCGTGCCTTTTTGAAAGCAGGACCTACTCTATGGAACTTAGTACCGTGTGAGATTCGGCTTTCACCTTCGTTGGATTCTTTTAAGACAAATCTTAAGACATTTCTGTATAGAGATGCGTACATTAATAATATTTCTTGTTTTTAAATATTTTTAAATAGATGCTTATAGTACTTAAATGTTGAGTAATAACGTAGGGAAATTTTAAAATTAGCTTCCTATTTTATGTAATTAAGCGCTTTAGAATATTGTATAGTTTTAGCGCGGTATAAATTAATAAATTATTATTATTATTATTATATTTGTGGTGTTACTCTGAGTGTATATCCACACCGGGCGAGCTTGAAAAATATGCCCGGCCACGGTGGGATTCGAACCTACGACCTTTAGAATACCGTCCTGACCGCGTAGCTCAGGTGGAAGAGCATTGGGCTAGTATTCTGTATTCCAAAGGTCGTAGGTTCGAATCCCACCGTGGCCGGGCATATTTTTCAAGCTCGCCCGGTGTGGATATACACTCAGAGTAACACCACAAATATCATATTCACCTGAGTACACTACACCAACACAGGAAAAAAACAAACCAGTAAACAGTTAATAATCCAATATACGTGCACAAGTAATCAGGTAACCAAAGGCAAAGCCTTAATGAGGCCATACAGTTAATCGTAAATTAGCTCAGTGAGGTGAACATTGAATAATTATTATTTTTATTATATTACTACCTCACCGGATTGTTTTCCAGGGAGGCCCTGTATGCAAATACAAAACTACTGTACTTCATGATATGCAGTGTGTAAAGTTCATTCTTCATAAATGCTACATAAATGCTAGACTTGTTTGAGGCAAACTCCGTATGGGCGAATATCCTTATCATCCGGTGTTACGAAATAATCAGCCTCAGCGCAGTTGCTCTCCCTTGGCACGATCTTAGAACTGACGAGATTCACTCGATTTTGTAGTAACATCTTGTATGATACCCCCTTTAAAACAAATTGCTTGGCATACGATTCGGCGACCGCGAACGATGGAGTGGAGTAGATTCCTGGACCAAACATTTGCTTCGTGCATTTGCCCGTATCGTATCCACCACTGCAAATTGGTCTGATATTCTCGGCTGCAGTTCCATGATACGAAACAGCCCACTCTCCCTCTGATGACCACGTTCTGATACCACGTGTACCAAGCCAGACATCATCATCATAACGACCCAACACTTTCAGGGCAACTCTGTGCCAGCCACAAGGACGGGTGTACGGATGCCCACCTCGTACGAACTGTAGATCAGAGTCTAGCACATTAGTGAAATTATAGTTGTACAGCTGATCGAGATCATCATCGCCGATGTAGGAAGTTTGGACAGGTTCAGTGGCAGTGTATCCCGTCTTTACCATCAACAATGTAGTGCCTGGTTTGACACCTTGCTGTGATAATATGAATAAATAAAGTTAATTTGGTTTGTCACAAAACAAATACCGAGTGTTTGATTTAACAACTGGAACAGCTACATGTTTGTGATGTTGTCTCTGAGTGTGTCTGCACCCGGCAAGCCGAAGTTTGCTTGGCCGCGGTATTAAAAATAGCTTGCGCGCGAAACTATTTAAACGTTTAAGGTGGCTCGATATAGTTATCACGAAAACCCTGCTCAAGAATCGCGAACTCAAAACCGGGTGACCATTTTTACGCGCAGGTCGCGGAAACTGATTAACAAAATGACAGAACTTCCAAAATGACCTGACGTAAGCAG